TCTAATATGATTCTCAATGCGATTTAAGCCTCGATCAATTTGTATAAAAAGGTCAAGATTCGCCATATCTATATCTTTCTCTTCTGAATTATATAAACTTGGAGAGCTTCTTCGAGAAGAAATAACTTTGAATCTATGCCTTAGATTTTGAATCCGCTCTTCCGATTCTTGTAATTGTTTCTCTATATTATCGATATAAGATATCTTGTCTCGGATCTCCTTTTTAGCTTGATATAAGCTTTTTTTAAGGAATGATATTTCCGATCTCAACTCCGCCTTTTCTTTCTCCGAAGCATTCTCAAGCTGTTCCAGTTCTTTATTGAGAGATTGAATTTCATTCTCACACCGGGTATATTTACGTTCTAGATCCTTTATATATTTTTCATTCGACCTATTGATTGAAACTTCATTAGATAACTCATTTCTCAAAGCTTGATTTACGTGTTCCAGTTCCAATTCCAATTCCCAATTAGATGCTGGCTCACAAGGTATTCGATTGGGATGTGGTCTTTGAAATGTCATGGTTATTTTTTATGGCATATTATATTAACTTATCTCTCGTCTTTGCCGAAACATAATTTATAGTGAAATGTATCAAAAATGAGACAGCCTACTATTATAATCAACAGTAATGAAGAATTGGATCTAGTTTGTCGACTACTTTTTTATCAACCCACTGGTTATCACTCCAACCCTCGAAAGTTATATAAAGATCTCAAGAATGAAGGATATCGATTTCCGTTCAAAAAAGTACGTGACTGGCTTATAAACCAGAATGAATGGCAAAAATACGCTCCGTCACCAAAAAATACTCCACGAGTAAGTTATGGAAAAATTTCACGTCCTGGATGTGTACACCAGTGTGATATACTGTTTCTCACGCATGATAAGTACAAGGGAAAGATATGGAAAGCAGTATTACAGATTATAGATGTTTCTAGCAGATTCAAAGCGAGTGTTCCTCTAACATCAAAGAATAGTTCAGAGGTTGCTAAAGCATTCAAGAAAATTTATGATAATCCCAATAACCCTCTTACGTACCCAACACTTCTGCAATGTGATGGTGGTAAAGAATTCAAGGGTGAAACTGCTCGATTAATGGAAGCGCATAATGTCACAATTCGAGTAATTGGTGCTTATAGTCATCGTGGATTAGCTCTTGTAGAACGATTCAATAAGACGTTAGCAGAGATGCTTTATAAAATCCAGTATGCCGTTGAAAGTATAACCTCAAACCCTAGATCAATAAGAGCATGGGTAAAGTATTTGCCAGAAGTCATCGATTACCTAAATAATTATCCAACACGTCTCATTAGAGCTCCAGATTCATCAAAATGGGGATTAGCTCCAGCAAAAGCTATCAAACTGGAACGAGTAGAATCTAGGCCATCTACAAACTATAAGCATCCGGTTGGAAAATATGAGGAGAATAAGTTGAAGAAAGGTGATACAGTTCGTTACTTGTTAGCTGATGGAGAGTGGGAAGGATCACCAGGTCTAGAGCAAAAACGAGCCACAGATCCCATATTCAGTCCAAGCCTTCATAAAATTCAAAAAATCATAGTAACAAAAAATGAACCAGTTTTATATTATCTCGGAGATGATGATGATGAATATCCTCCAAAGCGGGGATTTGTGAGAGAGGAGCTGATGCACGTAGATCTAGAAAAACTTCAGTATCCGCCCCAAAGTATATTGGAAGAAAATACTCGTTCCAGATCTGTTAATTTCGTTCATATTATTAATGAAGTGGCTAAGGCTGAAGAATATGCAAAGAAGCGCAATGGAAAATGTCTTGGTAAAACTGGTCAAATAAATGATTTCGATGTATATCTTTGGTCATGTGAAAATGAAAAGCATCAGTGGTATGCACCTTATAAAACCCAGAAGTGGAAATTCGAATGGTGTCCCCTATGTCCTCATTTTAAAGGGGAACGATCTGCGAGATATATTTTCGAAGATCTGCTTGGTAAAAAATTTCCATCATGTAAACCATCATTTTTGAATGGGATGCAATTAGATGGGTATAATGAAGAATTAAAATTAGCATTCGAATTCCAGGGGCCTCAACATCTTTCTGAAAATCCAATGTTCCATAAGGAAGGCAATATAGACTTAGATAACCAACAGACACGTGACCAAAAAAAGCAAGATGTATGTAAAAAAGAGAGTATAGATCTTATCGAAGTGCCTTACACATGTGATTTATTTCCCTATATAAAAAGCAAATTACAAAAGAGAGGATATTTATCGTATAAAAAATAAATATTACTTGGTGAAAGAAGAAAAAATGCCCATATTTGTATACAATATTGACGAGACATCAAAAAAATCCTCAGAACGAATGAAGGGCAACAAATTTAGTCCAGATGCCCCATTCAGATTGCTGGTATGGGGAGGGTCCAATAGCGGAAAAACCAATATGGTAATTAATCTTATGCTAGGCAATAAATTACAACTATTGTTTAAAGGTAAGAAAGGAAATCGTTATATCAAAAATGATGACCTTGTATTGATAGGTAAACATTTTGAGCCGAAATGGCAACTTGTACAAAATAGCTTTCAGATCTTTGCGAATGCCCCTAAACCATATCGAGAAAATGTTACATTCAGAAGAATATCTCCAGATAAAATTCCAGATATAACTAAATTCTCTCCAGAGCGAAGTACAGTTGTTGTATTCGAGGATCTATGCGCCGAATCGAAAAAAGTACAAGAACGAATTATTCCTTACTTCATTAGTGGTCGGCATCAAAATATCTCACCCGTATATGTAAGCCAGAAATATACCCAAACACTTAAAATAATTCGTGAAAATATTTCGCACTTATGCTTATTCCGGGGGGCTGGGAGCCGAGATGACATTTGCAGAATCGTGCGACAATATACGGATAATCCGAAAAAAGCTTCTAAGATTATTGATAAGCATTTGCGAGATCGAAAATTTGTGGTTTTTGATTTTACTAAGGCCATTGATGATCCTTTTGCAATTAGATTAGGTTGGGACACGTCCTTAAAATTGGATGAATAGGGCTTGATCCGCCTTTTTTGCAATTCCGGTAAGAAATTTCATGTTATATTACAGTATGTAAGCGAAATCTTAATATTATTTTATTAAGAATGAATATCACAAGCACAGTAAAGAAACGATATTACTATTATTAAAATTCTATTCAAACATTATTTACGTTTAACTATTTCTTTAAACTGCGGTGTTCTCAACGTAGCTCTCAACCTATTTATGATTTCTACAGGAACATTACCATTTTCTTTCTTTTTGTTAATATCATCACGAAGCCTTTGCACTTCATTCTCGTATTTTTCCTGGGATTCGCAACAAATGTCACTGGTTAGTTTTAAGAATAATAAGTCAGAAAAGAATATCGAAAATGTTAATTTAAGCATACAGTGAATGTGAACAAATTGTCAATGCCATTAATGAATTGTCCGCAGGTTTGAAAGGACTTTGGAAGTTCAGTTTCGCCAGTATCGAACATAATATAGAGTCCTGAAGCGGTCAAAACCATGATATAACCCGTCCATATTGTCACCACCATGCCATATATACGTGAGTACACAAAAAAATTCAGAAACATTATAATGATTATGAAATGAACACTTACCTATTGTTTGCCACGCAAAAATCATATGATCTTCCCCTGTCTTCTTAATGAGAAGATCAAGAGCATCCTTCATGAAAATGCCTAGCCTGATAAGATCTAAGTTGTCTTCTTTTCGTTGTTGTTTTTTCCTTCTCCTGTTATCTCACCAAACATAATTTCGTATTTGGATTTGTTGTTATTCACAACATTTCCGATCATGTCTGGTTGCTTTGCTCGTGAGGGATCTAGATTGGCAAGTTTACGGATTTTGCTACTCATACTGGCAGTGTTGGGCCAAATGGCCGGATGTATTGAAGCATCGTGAAAGAAGGAGCGCAATACTGGACTAATAATGTTGGCAGTCAGAGTGCCCTCACTAAGATGGTCCTTCAATGGCTTAACAGGAATATTTTTCGTTCTGTGAAATAGATAAAAAATGTTATAACCAGCTGGACATACA